TATTTTTCATTTTTTTTCATTTTTATTAAATTTAAATTTAAATTTTTTAAAAATTAATTGAGCAATTTTTTTTTTGAATTTATTATGATACCTTGTACGAAATATAAAAACCAAAACATAATAATAATGATAATAATTCATCAGCAAAAAAAAAAAAAAAAACCAAAAAGTATTCACAAATGAAAATTTTTTTTCTTTTCCTTTTTCCTCTCCTTCTCCTCCTCTTATTCCTTCTTATACATTATTTAATTGTCGAGCAATTTTTTTAAATTTAAATCTAAAACAGAAAAAAAACCTGCCTTTTCTTTTTAAATAATAATAATAATATATATTAAATAATAATATATATATATATTGAATATACGATAATATTAAAAAAAAAAGGCAAATTACAAAAATTATATTTTTTTTTCTTTTCAGCCTTGTTCATCTTCCTGTTGAAGACATCATTATTAATATAAATTAATTAATTTTTTTTTTTTTTTATAAATTTTATTTTACACTAATTATTTATTTATTTAACCACTTTTTTTCCTTTTTTGCACATTTTCCCCGGAGGGACATAAAAATAAAAAGAGAGAGAGAGAATGACAAATTCGTTAATAAAAAAAAAAAGTGGTTAAATAAATTTTAATTAAAATGTAAACTTATTTTTATTTAGAAAAAAAAAAAAAATACTGCTTTTTTATAGTTTTGTTGTTGTTTCTTTAATTTGTTTTTTGATATTGTACTTAAATTAAATTACCATCTTCTTTGTTTTCTCCTTAATAAAAAAAAAAAAGAAATAAAATAAAATAATAATAATAATAATAATCTACATCTACAACAGAAAAAAAAAAAAAAAAAAGAAAAAACTACTACGCTTTCTAAATTAATAATAATAATAATAATAAATTTTAGAGCATAATAAAAAAAAAATGTTATACATCTATTTATTTATCTATCTATCTATCTATCTATCTATCTATTTATCTGTTATACTCTATTATTGGCTTCACACATTTTTTTTTTTCCATTTTCCATTTTCTCATTTAAGCCATAAAAAAATTATAATAAAATAATAAAAAAAAAAAAATTTTTTTTTTTTTTTGTAACCTGAAACAACAAATTTCGAGGATTCACGCGTGCGCGCCCTTTTTGTTTTTATTACTACAATAATATTATTGTAATTCGTTAATAATAATAATAATAATAATTCGGCTGAATTCAAACGGACATTTTTTTAAATTTGCAAAGCTGCAATAATTTTTTTATCTTTTTCCCCCTTAATCAATCTTAATATTAATAATAATTATATATATATATTTATATTTATATATAAAATCGAAACGCTAGTAGTCACATTTTTAATTAAATTTACTAAACAGTTTGTGTGTAAAATTACCAAAAAATTTAACGGTTAGAAAAAACGAAATAATTTTTGCCCGAAAAAAAAAAAAAAAAAAACAAAATGGAAGAATTTTAATTAGCAGTCTTGTACTTTTTATTTTTTTGATAAATTTAAAAAAGACTAGATTTTTATTTTTAAACTTTTTTTTTTTAAAAAGAAAATGCGAGTAATGGCGTTTCGACAATTATATATATATATATGTGTGAAATTTAAATTCATCAATTATTATTTTTAATTATATAAAAAAAAAAAAAACTTACAAATAAAAATTACGAAAGAAAAAAAAAGACGAAAAAAAAAAAAAAAAAAAAAAAGAAACATTTAGTCGTCTGCTTCTAACGATGATAATATTGTTGGTCTCAGAGGTGATTTTCTTCTGGAAGACGGTGTACCCAACGGTTTATAAACATAATTACCGGAAATTGTGTTACCACCTGCATTAAAAACGTAAAAAAATATATAAATATTTTTTTTTTTTTTTTTTTTTAAATTACCCGGTATAATTAGTTATAATCATTTATACCTAAGCTTTTAAATCTTTTAGGACTTATTTCTCCAGTAGTTTGAGAATTAAACGTATACGTTGCCCCACCGGACAACCCGATTCCAGACATTGACGTGAACGCTCCCGCTTGCGGAGTTATATTTAACCTCATTTTCTTTTTTATTGGTGAATCTATTTCATTGTAAATTGATTCTGCGACCTGGATTTAACAATTTAACCGTTAATTTTTTTTTTTAATAAACATAACCCAAACATAAAACATGAAAAATTTACTTACTTCAATGTCGAAATCCGTGAGGCTAATATCACTGTCATCAAATTCTTCATCGTTCGAGGGGAAAACAGATTTTACCTGTTCTGCGCTTAAACGTGCCGTAACGGAATTGTTTCTTTCAGACCATTTTTTATTATCATTTTCATTATCTTCTTCTTCATCTTCATCCTCTTCCTCTTCGTCTGTGAATAATCATTTATGTCATTTGTTAATTTTTACTACCACATATAAACATTAAAGATGATTACTTTTAAATTTAAAATAACTCACATTCGGAAACATCTTCTCTTTTAAAATCCCAACTATTTTGTCTTGTTTGGTCCCAAGCTTCTTCTTCAGATTCCATTTCGCTATGTATTGTTTCTATTGAACCTAAATTTTGATTGTAATTTCCAGATAATTCACCTCTTTCTAATGCATCTAAACTTTCTGAAATAAAAACAAGAAAACTTATTTATTTCGGAAAAAAATTCGAATCTCATATTAACAAGTACTTTTTTTTTTTTTTAAGCGTACCTGGATATACCATTGATTTTTTAATAGCTAATTTATCTTTTTTAGACCACTTTTGAACTTCTTCATCCATTTTCCCAATTTTTTTTGGATTCATTGCCCACAAACAACCTTTTCGCTGTGACCCGTTCGTCGCTGGTTTTTCTATTTTTTCAAAACATTTATTTAGACTTAAATTATGTCTTACGGAATTTTTCCAACCGTTCGGAGCAGTTTTAAAATATGGAAAATGTTCACTGGAAAATTGAAAAAAAAAAAAAAAATAAATAAAGTTTAAGAGTATATAAAAAGTGTAAAACAATCATTTGTTAAATAACCAAGAGAGTAATTTAATACTATAATATGCGTATACTAACCACATAAAGTTATAAATTTCCGATACGGGCAAGCTGCCGTTGGGACTATTTTTCAATGCCATTGCAATTAAGCAACTGTAAGAATAAGCGGGTTTAGGATATGAAGATTTAACCAATTCTGATTCGCCACCATAATCTTGCAGTCTTTTTTTAGCATTAATTGACCTATGGTAATATATATAAAAAAAAAAAAATATAATTGAATTTAAGTATGTAGATATCTAAGAAAATATATGTGATGAGCAGAAATGTTATTAATTCCCACAAAAATAATAAATAAAATCTTACCTAACAGATGAGACAGATTTCTTTGTACTAACAGGAGTTCGATTTATAACATGATTATTTGATTTTGAAATTTGGTTTGCCACAGGTGTTTTAGGTTTTCCCTTGTTTGTTTGATTGCCTTAAAATTAAAAGCAAACATTTTTTAAGGACGTTTGTATTAATTATCGCAAGACAAGTCATCATATAAAACTAACATTAAAAAACTTAAAATTTTCCCTTTAATAAAACTTACTTTTTATAGCGACAGCTCTAGCATAAGCCTCTTGAAAAGTTTCTTCTTCTTCTGATTCAGTTATATATTCTTGCTTTATATCCAAATCGGATGAGAAACTAATTCCATGTTTTAAATATTCCTCTTCGTGAAATGCATCTTCATCATCTTCATTTTCACCCAGAAAACTCCCTTTAAGATTTCCTTTTTTACTCCCTAAATTATTTATATTAAAATTATGCTTATTTTGTGATGTTATATCTTTGGATGCAGATAAAAGGTTAGATGTTCTGTTATTTAAAATTGATGAAGACGTTTTAACTGAGTTTTTATTGTCTAAAATTATGATTTTTTAATTTTAAAACTATTGAACACAAAAAAAAAAAAAAAACAAATGCTACTTGTTAATAATTTATAAACTTACCATTAGTTTCAGTATTATCATAAGGAATTTGAATTACTGTAACTGGTATTACAGAGTTAGGACAAACCATTCTTGTTTCTCCGCTACTTAAATCTAAACTTAAACTTGAATTAATATCTCCACCTAATAAAGAGTGACTGTCACTCGATGAAGTTAGCCACACATTATTGTCTCCTGGAGCACCTACATAAAACAAAACTTGTCAACAAATCGATAATAAAAAATTTTTGGTGTACGTTAAAACTATTTTAATGAATTGTTGAAATATCGATCTTATATATTAAGCCATTGTTTTTTTTTTTTTTTATTTAAAGCATTATTTTAAACGTTTATATTTTATTCGAGTAATAAAATATTATAAATAAATAGTAAGTACAATATATTTTAAATATATTTACCAAGTGAATCTTCATCCAAATTCAAAGCGGGTAATTCTGTAAAATTCAAACTTAAATCACCGCAACTAAAAATGTTTTCAAAATCATTTTCTGATTTAATATCCATATCTAACATTTCCTGTAGCGAAAGTGAATCTGGTCCATTTTGCAGGGATTGACTGCTTAAATAATAATCCATAGTAACACTGCAGTAAATAAATAAATAAATAAATAAAAACTTAATGTCAAAATCATGTGCCAAAATAAAAAATATACAATTTCATTATTATTAGTATTAGTAAAAACTTAAACATATTTAAAATTTGGTAAAACATTCTTTAGTGTTAAAATTAAAAAATTACATAAACTTAAGCATTTTCAGTTTTTAACCTCGGAAAAACAAAACGTAGGCCAATTACTTATTAAAAATGAATAACAATTAATAAAAAAAAAAAAAAAAAAAAAAAAAAAAACGATAAGTGAAACAGACATTGCGCATTTACAATTTACAAATAAATGACATGTAAACATTTCAAAAGATAATCCGTTATCTTCAATTTTTGCCGAGCTGTGAGATAACTTTATAAATGTTTTTAACATATTTATTTTAAACTAAACATTAGGCGACTATTTTTATATAAATATTTAAATTAAATGTAAAATTTAATTAATTTTAACTCATATTTTCAGATTAATATTTTTGAAACGGTCATTTGAATCAATTAAATAGTCGGGGATGGCCAAAATTTTTCAAAACAAACGACTGACGGCCATTTTCACCGTGTTTTTTTTTATTTCAAGCATAAAAATCATTAAAATAAGCCTAAAAATCGTTATGATGATTTTAAAAAATGACTTTTAACAATTAAAAAAATTAATTAAATTTTTAAAAATTATTCAAAATATTTTGGATACCAATGTTCACCTTGAAATCGCTCTTCGCGCCTTGTAATGTACCAATCGGCCATGTTGGATTTTAGAATTCATTTTAAAATGATATTTTTTCAAGTGATTTACATTGTATATATGCTATATTAAGAGCAGTAATAATTAAAAATTGATTGGCACTATAAATTAAAATAAAATTTAATAGATGACTCTAATAATTTTTATGAAATTATTGCAAAAATTCAAAAAATCTCGAAGGCGGGATCCGGCGAGATTATTTAAGTGACAGATGTCTTAAACCAAAATAATCATTATACACTCGAACAGATTAATATTTACCACTAAAATTTATATAAAAATTTGTTACTTACATATTTTGTCTTTTGTATTATTTAATAAATTATGTATTGAAAAAGAGAATCATTAATTTTCTTGAATTTTTCTCCAATTTTATCACTAATTGTAATGGACAAAGCACGTAATCGGCAATAAAGAACGTTGACTACTCAAGAACAAAGATTTCAAAATAAATGGCTCTCATTGGTTGGCACAAATCACGTGTTAAAAAATCCGCGTTCTTATTGGCTGAAATACGAAAGAAAGTAAAGAAAGATCGAAGAGGAATTGCACATGGCTACTTTTTGTCAATAAACATTCCCTCCAAAATTATTCAGTAATAAAAATTTTTAATAATAGTAATTTTTTGATAATAAAATACAAAGGTTATTTATTTATGATTATAATTAAAAAATATTAAGGATTTATAATTTATCAAAATTTATAATCAAGAATTTTTTTAAAATTAAAAGAACATTAAATATGGCTGATAGTATTGAACAAATAACGAGGAACGTTTTTTAATTTGATGACTGAGAATCATAAAAAACTCCATACTTTTTTACTAAAAAAAAAAAGATATCAATAAATGTTTTACACACAGAAATTTTGCTATCTGGCTTCTGCTTCATAAACACCACAATTGATATTTCACTTGTTGCTAATAGAAATAACCATTAAATTTGAATTATTTATTTAAATAACCTAAATAAAGCTTAATATGATTTTAACATAAATATGTAAAATTAAGATTCATTCACAATAAAATTCTACAAAATATTATAACTTGCTCATATACATTGCATGTTAAGAATTTGTAAATAGGACAATTTAAAAAATTTATATAATTTATTTATGTTCATTATACTGTATTGGTCATTTACTTTATTAATATATTATTATTATTATTATTGTGTTAAGAGTAAATAAAATTATTATTGATAATTAAAATGTAAAAAAAGGGGGAAAAAAAATTATTTATTATTTTTTTCTTAGAAAAGATCAATTGTTATGAAATCGTAAAATAATTTTAGTTTTTCAAGTTGATTTTGTTTTGTTCATCAGTTATGAATTGCAAGAATAAAAGAAACCATAGACTTAACTGTAATAAAAAATTAAAATAACAAAAAAACAAAAAATACTTGCATAAAAAACTGTATTTAAAAATATTTCGTTATTTTACATCATTTATAAAATAAAATTATAAATGTCTTAAAAAGCATTAATATTTTACAAGTAATAAATTTACTTTAAAAACATTTATTTTATTTATTTCACCTATGTACTAAAAAAAAAATTAATCGATTATCGATTACATATTTAAAATTTTTAAAAAATACTATACAACTGTGTATTATTATTTATTTTTTATTGATTTTTCTTTATTTTTTTTATGTTTCTTTTCCATCTTAGACTTTTTGGGTGATTTAAACTTTTTGGGAATAATTTTTTCGACTTCTTTAAGATGAGTTTTCCAATTAAGGCCCAATAGTGGATGCCTGCAAACTAAGTCTTTAGGTAAACTAATTTTATTTTCAATGTCTTTTCTCGAACTATACTTTTGGGCATCAAAGTTGCCTACATCTTTTTTAATTAATATATGACCTTTAATAGGAACATTAAGTAACGATGAATTATTTGACTCCTGGGGAAAACCTACACATATATTTTTTTTAGTCTGTAATAATTCCACACTAAATTTATCATGAGATTCTGAATCAGTATTGCAATTCATGATCAAGGAGTTTAAATTTTTACCCACTAAGTCTTTTTTATTTAAATAATTTGGCATTTGCAAAGTATAAATTTCATCATCCGAGGTAATTTGATCTAAATTAAATGTGCTAATACTTGTCTCTTCTTTTTCATTTCCGCTGTGTTCTTGAAACGAAGACTCCTTTTTAGGCATTGTGGCTTTTTCTTTTTAATTATTATTTTATCAATTTAAACTTTTTAACATTTATTTTAGTTTAAATTAATTCTATCGATTAATTTTAGTCTGCTTAAAATTCTCTGGAAAAAAAAAAAATAACCTCATAAATTTGACATAAATTTTTTTTTTTTGTTTTTTATGTTTAATTTGTTTCGAAATGTTGATATTAATCAAAACAAACTTCAAATTATTATTCTGTAACAGTTATAAAATAATTTATACGTTTAAAAAAACAATTTTTTTTTAAATGTAAGAAAATTGAAAAATATTTGGATGTATTAATTAATATTAAAGTCGAATCAAATTATAAATAAAAGAATTCATAAAACAATAAAAGCAAACATTTTATTGGTGGTAGCTTTAACAATAATAAAGTTATTACTTAAATTAAGATGCACATGTATTAATAAAATTTACATAAATATTTAATATTTACATTCAATACATAACTTATAACCATTTAAGACATATGCACATATTTATAACCTTTACAACAAATATCTAAATAACAAATCTCAATACAATATAGTTTTTAAAAATTAAAAACATTATTTTGTGATCGAATAACAATTACCTACCCGACATTAATTTTTTTTGACAAAAATTATAAAATATATTCACAAATATACATGCTCAACTATTAGCATGGTTTAAAAATAAACGTCGTGGTTCTAGAATTAATACTTCGACTACATTTTAAACATTTTCTATCGTTTAAAATTTTTTGTATAAATATTTATCGTAGATATAAAAACTGTGTTAAATAATTATCAATAATAATACTGTTGTTTAAAAATAAACGTAATTATTATTAACAAAATTTTATTTGTTTATTTCATTTTAATTTTTTTCCGTTACATTCAAATTTTTTAAACCTATGTAACCGTAAACAAAATAGATTGGAATCAATTTTCGCGCCAAAAAGTAATTGTAAATAAAAAAATTTCTTTTTAGTCATCTTTTTTTTGAATTTCATTAAAAATATCTTAAAAAGTTTATAATAAAAAAAATTTTAAACAATACAAATATATATTTTAGGTTAATAAAATTTTGTTTTAAAAGATATAAAAAGTATATTTAAAAGTAATTGTAAATAAAAATAAGTGTAATCAATAGTAAAATTTCATTAAAAACTAAAATTATAATTAATAATGCCAAAGTCTTAATAATTTGGAGGCTACGTTTGTTTTACTTTTTCTTTCTTTTTGTAAGCTTGTTGATAAAAGTCGAAAAATAAAGCGAAAAAAATTGTGCTATGAACCAAAAGTAAAGCGGCTATAAACTTTGGATATCCACAATCAAAAACTAATACCTGAGCAGAATGGAAAAATACTAATGTAAACTGAGCCTGTGAAAAAATGAAAACAAATATTTTCATTATTGATTATACCTAATTGAAAACAATTACAAAAATATCATCATCATCATCATCATGTACATTAATTGATTTCAGGTATGACACTTACTAATTGAATTGTGGTTAAATGTTTTTTCCACCATAAATATTTTTGGTACTCTGGCCCCATTGCAGACATCATGTAATAAAAATACATAATTACATGAACGATATTATTAATGAGATTTGAAAAAGTCCCATGACCGCCTAAAAATAAATACAATAGTAATAATAATAAATAATGTTAATTAATTTTTATAAAAAAATTTTTTTTTTGGTGGGAGGAGGAGGGGGGGGGGGAAAGTACTCACCGGCTAAAAATTTAACACATATCCATGTTTCGATCGGAGTTAATGAATGATGATACAAATGTAATAAACTTACTTGATTATCTTTTTTTCGTAAAATAAAAAAAATCTGAAAAAATTTTAATAACCAAAAATATAATTATAAAAAAAGTTTTTCATCGATCAGGTACTGAAACCATAAGAGGAAAAAATACTATGATAACAATAAATATAAAAAGAGACAGAGAAAGAGAGAGAGAGA